ACTCATATATTTAACTCAGGTGCTGTCCATTTCTTCTGATCATCCTTGAGATGGTTCTACACCTTCGTTTGAGTCCAGCTGTGTTTGATTATACTGATTGGACTTGATTAGGAAAGCCCCACACCTGTCTATATAAGACCTTACAGCTCACAGTGCATGTCAGAGCAAATGAGAATCATGAGGTCAAAGGAACTGCCTGAAGAGCTCAGAGACAGAATTGTGGCAAGGCACAGATCTGGCCAAGGTTACAAAAAAATTTCTGCTGCACTTAAGGTTCCTAAGAGCACAGTGGCCTCCATAATCCTTAAATGGAAGACGTTTGGGACGACCAGAACCCTTCCTAGAGCTGGCCGTCCGGCCAAACTGAGCTATCGGGGGAGAAGAGCCTTGGTGAGAGAGGTAAAGAAGAACCCAAAGATCACTGTGGCTGAGCTCCAGAGATGCAGTCGGGAGATGGGAGAAAGTTGTAGAAAGTCATCCATCACTGCAGCCCTCCACCAGTCGGGGCTTTATGGCAGAGTGGCCCGACGGAAGTCTCTCCTCAGTGCAAGACACATGAAAGCCCGCTTGGAGTTTGCTAAAAAACACCTGAAGGACTCCAAGATGGTGAGAAATAAGATTCTCTGGTCTGATGAGACCAAGATAGAACTTTATGGCCCAGCCAGAGCCCTGACTTAAACCCAGTTGAGCATCTCTGGAGAGACCTAAAAATGGCTGTCCACCAACGTTTACCATCCAACCTGACAGAACTGGAGAGGATCTGCAAGGAGGAATGGCAGAGGATCCCCAAATCCAGGTGTGAAAAACTTGTTGCATCTTTCCCAAAAAGACTCATGGCTGTATTAGATCAAAAGGGTGCTTCTACTAAATACTGAGCAAAGGGTCTGAATACTTAGGACCATGTGATATTTCAGTTTTTCTTTTTTAATAAATCTGCAAAAATGTCAACGATTCTGTGTTTTTCTGTCAATATGGGGTGTTGTGTGTACATTAATGAGGAAAAAAAATTAACTTAAATTATTTTAGCAAATGGCTGCAATATAACAAAGAGTGAAAAATTTAAGGGGGTCTGAATACTTTCCGTACCCACTGTAAGTCAAATTAACTTCAGTAGATGACATAGTATCTCAAAATGTTGACTTAAGCATCATTTTCGCATCATATTGACTTCTTATAATTATGACTTAGTATGTGACAATTATGACTTATGTCGTCATATTTATGACTTGGTTTGTCATCATTTTAACCTTTTACATCATAATTATGACTTAGTATCTCATAATTTTGACTTTGTTAAAATTATGGCTTAGCATCTCATAATGTTGACTTTCTGTTGCAACGACTATGTATCTCATAATTTTGACTTTTTACATCATAATTATGACTTTGCATCTTACATTTTTGACTTATGTCAATTATGACTTAGTATCTCATAAATTTGACTTTTTATGCCATATTTTTGATTATTTTTTTCTTATGTGAAATGGGCTTTCATATGAACATGACATTAACCATTAAAGACAAATCAATGTGCACTATGTGGGTCAAAAATCTGCGCTGAGCAGCAGGCTACAATCTAACTGTGCAGTTGCAAACCTGTAAACAGATTAGAGCACAACACACAAATCACTCCTGGAAGTAGGTTATGAGATACACAAATAACTCCCCTTTACATGGATTCATTAACACCCCACAAAGCGCATTCAAAGTCGGCGTAATCAAACACTTGAGTACTGAAAAGTCCTTCAGCAGGTCAGACAAAGCTCATGGAGATGGAAGCGTGTTGCATGCTAGCGATGAAAGAGAAAAACTGTGTCTCATCTTCTTGCAGCACCCCAAACAATCAATGAAAGATGGCCGAGACTCGAGCCTTGCGTAACAACTTCTCTCTAGTTTTTGTTTAGCAGAAAATCGATATATGTTATCCTGGAAGCCCTTTGTGCGAGTGCTGTTTTAAACCTATATCGAACTGACCTAATTACAGAAAACATTCTTCATAAACCCTCATCTTCTTCTGACAGCAGGACATTGCATCAGGCAAATTGCATAATGCATTAGAAAGATGAGTAAGTGCAGAGGATGATGAGTCAGGAAATTAAGAAAATCACATCTAATTTATCATAACTAAGAGCTTTAGGTCGTATCCGAGTGTCATTTTTGATAAAATGCACAGTAGAAAACTGGTTCTTCTGAAACTGGTTCCTTAAAAAAATGAGATCAACATGCTGTTTTTGTCCAGACTTGAGCTATTGGATCAGTTTTATTTGCCAAAAACTATGAAAAAAGTCAGATGGGATTGTCTTTGTTATTGTGCTTAATTACTTACAGATACAAAGTCACAATGATGAGAGAAAATGTATGAGGTACTAAGTCATAAAAATGAGATAAAAGTAATTATTATGACATAAAAAGCAATAATTATAATATTAAATCGAAATTATGAGATACTAAGTCATCATTATGAGATAAGTCACCATTATGACATAAAAAGTCAATTATAGTATTAAGGTGAAATTATGAGATACCAAGTCATCATTATGAGATACGTCACTATTATGACAAAAAAAGTCAATTATAATATTAAGTTGAAATTATGAGATACTAAGTCATCATTATGAGATAAGTCACTATTATGACATAAAAAGTCAATTATAATATTAAGTCAGAATTGAGATACTAAGTCATTATTATGAGATAGCTCACATCTGAATGTGTCGATGTCCTGCCAATAACAAACTGCAGCTGTGCGATGCTTTCAAAGCACTGATGCATCACAAGCCCGAGAGAATTAGTGTTGGACAGGAATCTTCTGTTTGAAGCAAAAAGACTATATTGAACCCGAGCAAACACACACACGCACGGTTGAGGACACTAGCGGTAAGCAATCTAAGATAAGCAGCGAGCGCACAGCAGGATCAGCGTGAGACGCTGTACATATGAAATGTCATCTTGCTCTGGATGAGAAGCGGTGAAATGGGTTCAGCAGCAACAAGATGAGCGCAAATAGAAAGAGATAACGCAAGAGAAGATGAGAGATCCTCAGACGGCCCTGGTGATGTCACCAAACAGAGAAGAATCTGCTAACAACACTTATGAAAACCAGAAGTAACAAATGATGCTCAGGTAGATATGAAATTAAAATTAGCGGCAGATTTTTTCTTCTGTATTGTGATGTGTATATCCAAGTGGATATAAGAAAAATCTCAAAGAAGAATCTTTAACATTAAATTGGGCCAGAACGCCTCCTGAACTTTCTGCTAAATAAAAAAAATAAATAATAATAATAATAATAAATTTTGCAAAAGGGTATAAAATTAAGAACAAAAAAATAATAAGTACAGATTTTATCTATTTTGCAGAAGAGTACAAAATAAAAAAATATATAAAATTGAAAAAATAAAAGGAACTAATAACAGTTAACTGTGTTTTGCAGAAGGCTCAAAGAAAAAAAAAGAAATAATTAAAATAAATAGATAAATAAAGTTATGTTTTTGCAGTATTTTGCAGCATGGTATGTGGAAAACTACTGTAAAGCTAGATCACTCCCATAAAAAAAGGAATAAATAAATAAAATAATAAATAAGTATTTAAAATAATAAGTAAAGTATTTTAACAAAATTTTGCAGAAGGGTACAAAAGATAACAATAGTAATAATTTTAAAAATAAAATAAAAATAAATAAATAAATAAATAAATAAATAAATAAATAAATAAATATATATAAAAATAAAACATGTAGGGTTTAACTGTATTTTTCAGAAAGGTACAAAAATACAAAAAAAATAAAAGTAATCAAATAAAATGTAATTAAATGTATTAAAATTAATAAAATTTAAAAAAGTAGGTTTTAGCTGTACTTTGCAGCATTGCATGTGTAAAGCAACTGTAAAATTAGATCACACCCATGATAAATCAACAATGCTGACTCACACACACAGCATCAACCACACATGAATGTGCATCAGTGTGAACCGGGCGCAGACTTTGTTTTGTCTGACTTTGGGGTCAGAGACGGTTCATCTATATAAACCAGGATCATGAAAACATCCGTATTCAAAATCTGGCATTTCAGGGTCCGACTAGATGTTTTTATACAGGACACACTTTCTGAAAGTTCAAATCTAACATTGCACATTTAAAGAACCTGTAAAATCATTAATGTATGTAGCTTCGAGCTCCTAAAAACTGACCAAACAAACCATTAGCAGATAAATGCATTTAAACACTAGAAAACGTCCCTCCCTGTCCTGAAGGAGGGTGAAGGCACCGCTTTGAGCAAATAAACAGGAAGTAGTGGTGAGGTCATGGACAGGAAGTGGCTCTTACAGCGTATGGGTGGTTTGGGCATCATGGTGGAGATGTCCTGGGACCAGTACAGAGGAACCGAGCCTCGGACCTGAACACAGGAGGAGAAACTGCCCGCCGTCAACGACATGACCGAGGCATCGTGGATGATCTGCTCTGTCTCCACCTCGTTCGCCACATCGCCCTGAAAACACAAGCACAAGTGATCTGGCATACTAGTTTTTGCATACTATGTGGTCCTAAGTACACAGATATGGGGGATGTCTTTAGCTCTGAAAATAAAATAAAATTACATTTAATTAAAGTAGGTTTTAACTCTATTTTGCAGAAGGGTACAACATTTAAAAAAGTACAAATGAAAAAAAATTAAGTTAAATTTTAAAATAAAATAAAATAAATGGGTATGGGGTATGTTTTCAGTGCTGAAAATCAAAGATAAATAAAATAAAATATAATAATAAAAAATAATGAAAAAAATATATATTTTTTAAAATGAAATTTAAAAAGTAGGTTTTTATTCTCCACATTTTGTAAATTTTTAAAGACTCTGATGGCTGTGTTTGCATACTTTCTGTACTAAATGAAGAACTTATTTTAAATTTCTAAAAAAAAAAAAAAAATCAAAAATCGACCCCAAAACTTAAATAAAATAAAAAATAAAATAAAATGGATTTTAACTATATTTAAAATTAAAAATAAAATCAAATTAATTAAATTAAATTAAATTAAATACAATTAAATTAAGAGAAGTAAATGACCAAAAATATCCCCAAAAATTAAATTAAATTAAATTAAATTAAATTAATTAAATTAAATTAAATTAAATACAATTAGATACAATTAAATACAATCAAATAAAAGTAAATTAAATTAAATTAAATTAAATAACATTAAATTAAATTAAATTAAATAGAAAAGATAAGATAAGATAAGATAAGATAAGATAAGATAAGATAAGATAAGATAATACATTTATTTTTAATTAATTTAATGGAAGAAAATGAACATGGGGTATGATTTCAGTGCTGAAAATCAAAGATAAATAAAAAATAAAATTGATAAAATAAAACAATAAAAAATAATGAAAAAAATTTAAAATTACATTTAAAAAGTAGGTTTTGATTCTCCACATTTTGCATATTTGTATATTTGTGTTTGCATACTTTCTGTACTAAATGAAGAACTTACTTTAAATAAAAAAATAAAAAAAAATTAATAAATCTGTCCCCCAAAACTTAATAAAATAAAATAAAATAGATTTGAACTACATTTTGCAGGGTATAAAACAAAATAATAATAATAATAATAATAATAAAAATTAATGGAATTAAATTAACTTAAAAAACAAATTGATATTCACTAGACTTCAAACTATATTTAAGCTTTTGGACAGCCTAGTGATTTTACATAACTGACTCGACTAGTTTAATTGTTAAATGATGAGCAGCTGAAACGTGTGGGTCTGCAGTTTTGAAGTATTTTCACCATCATAAAGCATCACAGAGAGCTTAGTGAGGCTTTAATGGCTGACAGCTTCAGAGCAAACGAACAACGTTACATAATCACACCTGAACACACAGAGATAAATACAGAAGAGGAACAGCTCGTGTTGGACGGGTGTGACACACGGCATACAGAAGAGCTCGTGGTCCGTCCGTCTCGAGCACATACCTCACAGTTCGCTCCTCGCTTGAGGAACCGCGTGCCGGCGAAGCGGCTGGAGCGGCGGGCGATGAGCGTGACGTGCACCGGCCGACCGTAGATCAACAACTCTTTAATAACTCCGTTAAAGAACAACAGCACAAAACATCTGACATCAACACGCTGCACATCTGAAGATGAGTTCATACAAATAGGCCTGTCGCAATAATCAATATATCGACTTATCACGCAATATATGTACATGACCTCAATCATTTTTTATTATTTAAGAATTAATTTTCAAAAATGAAAAAAAAATTAAGCTAATAAAATTTAAGAAAAAGTAGGTTTTGATTCTCTGCATGTTGTATGTTTTTAAAGACTCTTATGACTGTGTTTGCATACGTTCTGTATTAAATAAAGAACTTGCTTCAAAGTTCTTTAAAAAAAATCTTACTGGCCCCAAAGTGTTTTGTGTGCTTCTCAGTTCATATTTGTGACCCTGGACCACGAAACCAGTCATAAGGGTCAATCTGAATAAATAAGCTTTCCATTGATGTATGGTTTGTTAGGATAGGACGATATTTGGCTGAGATACAACTATTTGAAAATCTGGAATCTGAGGGTGCAAAAAAATCTAAATATT